CTCAGATCCACTTTTCCTCCCAGCGTCCGGGGAACGCCTCGGGACACTTGCACGGTGGAATCTCAGCCCCGGGTCCTAGGGACGGCGCGAAAACTAACCTGGGTGGTGGGGGAAAAGAGACCGGCTCAGCTTGGGCGGCGGAAAGGGACATCCCTGATAATTTTTTCATATGTCTTTTGCCACTTGTATTTCTTTTTTGAGGAAGTTTATGTTTGTTTCTTATCCCATATTTTGATGGGGTTGAATTTTTTTGTTAAGGTTTTAACAGTGCCTTATATATCTTGAATATTAACGCCTTATCAAATGGGTACTGTGTAAATATTTTTTCCCAATGTGTGGGCTCTCTGTATCTTGGTCACTGTTTCTTTTGAGGTGCAGAAGCTTTTTAATTTAATGTGATTCCATTTGTTTATCTTTGCTTCCACTTGCTCAATGAATGTTGTTTAATCTTTGAAGAGGCTTTTAGCTTCAAATGCTGGGGGAGGATGCAGCTGGGATAGACAAAGGACCACCAGGACAAAGATAGTTGAAAATAGTTGAAAATGATCACTCTGGATAAGAACTCACTATCACGATCACGATCATCCTGTTGTTCGTTCATTGTCTTGAGTAGGCACCAGTAACGTCTCCTTTGCTCTAGCCCTGAGATTTTAAAAAGTGCCATATTCAAGGCACTTTCAGGGTTAGGAGAATGAGACCCATCATTGTTACTGGTATTTGGCATATTGGTACACCACGGGGAGTTTGCCAGACTCTGCCGTGTGAGTAGGTTACATTCGGTATCCTGCCAGGTTCTCCAAATCCAGAATGAGATAATAAGATGTCACACAGCCGTGAATGCGGCCACGCACTTTCCGGAGCTGGGTTTTATTGTCTCTGGGTCTTGACCATTGATGGGATTACACGGCGCCTGGGGGCAGTTGGTGGGTGTGACCCCTGCCTACTGGAAGATGGAGGATCTGGGTGGAGAATGCTCAGTCCAAATCCGAGCAGGCTTGGAGATCTTAGCCCCTGGACCCGCAAGCCTTTGTTCCTCTGCTGGTATCTTCATGCATGTGGAGAGTGCAGCCAGCAATAATTTCCAGAATTATAAATAAAATCCAGAACCAGCCACAACCATGCTGAGACCACTCTCCACTCACATGAAGGATAAGAACTGCATGCTGAAAATAGGTAAAGGAACAAACATGATAACCTCTCAGTACCTGTATTGCAAACCACAATGCCCCAAAGTTGGGGGGGAGAGAGAGAGAGAGAGAGAGAGAGAGAGAGAGAGAGAGAGAGAGAGAAGGAAAGTGCCTGTCATAGAGACAGGGTGGGGGAAGGGTTGAGGGAGAAAAACTGGGGACATTGTTTGTGGGAAATGTACACTGGTAGAAGGGTGGGTGTTGGAACACTGTAAGATTGAAACACTACCATGATCAGCTTTTTGTAACTGTGCTTCTCACTGTGATTCAATTTTTAAAAATGTGTATAGAATCCTAAATGAGGCCCTATATCAAAAAATGGACATGAAATGAATTAAAGAAACTTTAGTCAGTGTGGACAAAAAATATTGCTGGCGGCACTCAGGGACCATATGGGGTACCGGAGATTGAACCCAAGTTGGCCACGTGCAAGGCAAATACTCTACCTGCTGTACTCTTTCTCTGGCCCCTGAACTCTACTTCTAAACTGACTTAATCACCTTCTGTCCAGGTTCCAACACTTCAATTTCAGTATTAGGTTAGAAAAACAAAATATTCCTTCTTTCTAAATTGCAATGATATTCCTACATAACCAACATTTGGGGCAATTATTTTTCAAACCTATTTTGTCATTTGATGTCAACAAACATTTTGAAAATTGTCCTAGAAACACTGGAAAAAAACCAGTGGAATATTTCCAACAGCATACACTCATATTGCCCTGTGTAAATAAATATTTAGGTAATTTTTCACTTATGGCTGAAATGGAACACTGGTTTGACTAAGACTCAGGTTTGTTTTAATAACTTTATGTTTAGTATCAGATACTATTAGGTAATTGCACTTACTAATCAGCATCTTTTAGAAATGCTAGTGTATATTAGTGAAGTTGTATTTTGTCCTGAATCCTTTTGTCTAAGCATTAACATTCACAGTGGGTTTGTCTGAATTCACTGATAATAGCTGTTACTATGGATGTAGGCTATTTCATATTTTATTTGTTGAACTGAGGCTTGAGAAGAGGAACGGCATTGAATTATTTGCAATTTTGAGTCCAAATAAAAAATATTTTTTTCAATATAGAGAGAAAATTAGAAAACTGGAGTTAAAATCCAAACCCTGTCTTCCTAAATTAGGGTTGTGCAGTGCTTATGAACACGATGTTGAACATGGGATTTTCTCTTGCCCACAAGGACAGCAATAAAAATATGGATTATCTCCAAGAATGAAATATCAAATCAGCCTGTAAAAAATTGGGTCTGTTTTTCAGGAAAGTCAATAGACAGGGAATGAACCATTAGTTTTTCATAATGGCTTTTGTAGAGGACTCATAGTTTTTGTTCCACAGGTTTTATCAAACTAAAAATAAAAGTGAAGTTTTAAAAATACATACATTGATCCAAATAAAATGAAGAATATCATTGGGAAAAAATTGGGCTTTTTGGGTAAAAGTGAAAGATGTAATCTGTGAAGATGATGGTTATGAGATCTTGTGGAAAGCAGTATGCATTAGTGGCTACTAATTCAGACAATAGAGGCAAATTGCCAGTCTCTGCCTACCAGGTCCTTATATGGTGTTGGACACCTCTTTGCTTCAGTTTTCTGACCCATAAAATGGAACTAGGAGTAGTACAATCTCATTGTGTTGCTCCGAGAGATTTTGTAATTAATAATTAAAATCCTTAAAACTATATCAAGTGACATGAGTACTCTTTGCTCATCACTTGAAGGCCAACATTCAATAGACAAGTTGTTGGCAGAGAAACAGGCTTATTCTGGTGTTACCACCTTGAGAATATAATGGAATTGTTGCCTCAAACCATGTTCTGCTCAAGCTGGGGCTTGGGGGTTTATGAGAAGCTGAAGAAAGGAAGCAGAAGCAAGAAAAATGTTAGTAGAGGAGATGGGGTCGTCACACAGCATCCTGCTGGCATCAGTGATTTCTGGAACTCACTTGCTAATACCAACATGTTTCTTGTAGAACTTGAGATAACAATATTATAGGGGCCAGAGCAGGCAGGGAGTTCCCCCCCCCCAAGCACTGCCAGGAGTAAGCCCTCAACACCCATTAATATGGCCCCAAAGGAAACAACAACAACAAAAAGATAACACTATCCTACAACATTGGCTTTCAGTAGACGGGCAGATATCTGTTCACATCTGTTCAATCCATTGTTTTCTCTTTTCCTCTCACTTGTGATTGGGTCCGAGTTTGACAATAAACACACAATTTATAGAAATATTTCTTAACAATAGGAGAAAGACAGAAGCTAGGGGTAAGAGAAAGATCTAAAAACCCTGTGGAGAGCAAAATGGAGTTTCTTGTGTCTCCTTGTCTATAGCATAAGTTATTTTAAAATATTTTATTTTTTAAATAGGGACTACATCCAGCAGTGCTCAGGGGGCCATGCTGTGCTGGAAATTAAACTCATGATCTTGAACAGTCTAAATCTGTGGTCTACCAATTGTGATATATGACTGACCTAATAACTTAGCTATCTTTGTAGGATTTTTTTTTCTGTAGTGAGATTTAAAAGATAGAACAAGATATATGTGGTTCATTTATCTGTAAGTCATAGTGTCTTGGCATTTCCTTGGTTTTATTTGCTCTCAAAAAGAATGGAGAATTCAGTTCATCTTGGCCTGCTTGAGAAAATCAATGAACAACGGGATGACAGTGATACAGTGTTACAGTGAAGTGAAAAACTACTTCTAAGATGCAAATATGCCCAAAATTTCTTATGTCAATTTTAAACTAAGCATTGAACTTTGTCAAAATTCATTGATTTTAATTGTAAACTTTATTTTGTGTAAATGTTCTTAATAAAGTGTTTTTATAAAGCTAAATTTATGATAACAAGACTTTTTTGTTTTTTGCTATATTAATGATTTTTTTCAAAGAGCTACCGAGAGTATTCCACCCGCACAGCAAAGCCTGGAAAGCTACCCATGACGTATTAGATATGCCAAAAACAGTAACAACAAGTCTCACAATGGAGATGTCACTGGTGCCCACTCAAGCAAATCAATGAACAACGGGAGGACAGACAGACAGACAGTGCTGTTTCTGCTAGGGTTTATATATTTATTTTAACTGTGGCCTCATTTTTTATTTCTGTTATCTGACATAACCAGGCAATTTCAGCTCATTCTTAAAGATATTTTGACATGGTAAACACTGATGCTTTAATGATATGAGACATTTATCATTTTGGGCTTTCTGGAAACAGAAATTGTTCCCTAACTTGTAATTTGGGTCTCACTTAAGAGAAACATAGGATCAGAAGATAGCACAGTGGGTAGGAAGTTTGCCTGGTATGCAACCGACCTTGTTGCAATCTCCTACACTGCATATAGCCTCTGAGCACTGCCAAGAGTGAGCCCTAAACACAGAGCCAGGATTAAACCCTAAGCACTACTGGGTATGGTGCCTAAGCAAAACAAAAAATAGAATGACTTCCAAGTTGAATGCAACTGTAAGCCACGTTTATGTGACTTTCCACCTGGGCTGTTAGGATGAAAATCTTACCAAAACTTCTTGAACTTCATCTACACATGACACCTTTTTACCCAAGAAATGCAACATGACAAACACTTTCAGAAACACTTTGAATTCATCACACAGTTGACTTTGAATTAATTGGTGACAATCACATGCTCAGAAACCTTTCATTGCTGCCATATTTTTTTCATCATTCAGTTGTGACCTCACATTCAATTATATCATCTCAGTTGTGACCCATAGTTTAAGAAGCCAATATCTAGAATCTTATAACATGTTTAATTATGATTTCTTATTGTATTTCCTCCCAGGTATGTCAGCAGCCAAACTTCTCCATGACTCTGGCCTGAATGTGATTGTTCTGGAAGCCCGTGACCGTGTAGGAGGCAGGACTTATACCATTAGGGTAAGACTCTAAAGACAGGGTGGAGAATCACGGGATTAAAACATAGTTGAATTTGCCCATTTGAAAGTTCGGAATTTCATTCAAATCTTACTAAGACCATAGAAATTACTGTTAACTACTCTTCACAGTCTATCTCTCAGTTTAATTACTTTTCAACCCTTTTCTTATTTCATTATATTAGTTACCAAATAAGCTATTGAAAGTAAATATTTGGGCTACACATTGATTAAAACAAGATCTCTGCCCTTGTGAAAATTCTTTTTTTTCTTTGGGTATTGGGGAGAGTTCATGAGTACTAGACAATAAACCAACAAAAACATAAAAGTAAGACATTCTTTAGTGCCCCTGATTAATAGGTACCTAGCCATGTTTGAACTTTTCAGACATAGAGAACTTTTCTACTCATATCTCTTTCCAAGGTTGGTCCTCAATAACTGATATTGAAGCTGATCCAAAACTATATATAAAAATTTCTACTGAACACAAGAGCAATTAAAAAGTCTAAAATTATAATCAAATTTTTCCTACTACAATCTTTCAAATGTGGAATTGCAAAGCATATAAGAAATGATGATTTTTTTCTTGATTTTCTCATAGCATTTGATCCATCAAAATTAGCTTTATGACAGCTGCATAGTATAGACAAAGCTGTGTAGACAGCTTTGTAAAAAATAATAAAATTAAACTGAATTAAAAAAATTAGATTTGTGGCATTAAAATCAAACCACATTGGAACGATTTGTGAATGACGAAGTTTAACATTCTCTTTCCTATTCATAGTCAAATTAATTTGCTTTGAATTAAGCAATAATTTAATAATTTCTAAGTCATATGAGTGGAGTAGAGTTTTCCATGGATACAAATTTACTTATTTTGCTCTAATTTTTTACTTAGAGGAGCTGGAGCGATAGCACAGCGGGTAGGGCATTTGCCTTGCAAGCGGCCCACACAGCGGACCCGAGTTTTATTCCTCTGCCCCTTTCAGAGAGCCTGGAAAGCTAACAAGAGTATCTCACCCCCACAGGAAAGCCTGGAAAGCTACCGGTGCTGGGCCCGCTTGAGCAAATCAATGAACAATGGGAGGACAGTGCTACAGTGCTACAGTTTTTACTTAGGAAAAAAAATTTCACAAGTCTTTATATTAACTTTTTTTCCAAAATAGAACCAAAAAGTTAAATATGTGGACCTTGGAGGATCTTACGTTGGACCAACTCAGAATCGCATTTTAAGATTAGCCAAAGAGCTAGGAGTGGAGACCTATAAAGTTAATGAAGAGCAAAGACTGATACACCATGTGAAGGTAAGCCTGCATCTAATTATTTGAAGAATGTAAAGGTTAATCCACTGGTCTTTCCATATATGAATTCCAGATCATTCTTTTAGATAATCTCTGCATAGTGAAATTATGTATACATGTTTCATAAACATGTTTAGTAACTGTGATGCATTTTTTTCATTTGGGGGTCACACCCGACATTACACAGGGCTTACTCCTGGGTCTGTGCTCAGGGATTACTCCTGGCAGTCTCAGTGTGCTGAGGAACTGAATCCAGGTTGGCCATGTTGAAGCCAAATACCATACCCGCTTTACTATCGCTCCAGCCTCTATGATACTCCTTTATCATGATTAATTAAGGGGAAATTCTAAACATATTTGAGAAAGTTGGATATGTTTTGCCCATATGGTAAAATCTTTAGTAAAACTAATAGAGGAAAACTTTTATGATTGATTTAATACATATATTTTAAAACTTATGACTTTGTCACATGATACAAAACCTGTGTACTACTTAACACGAACTTCCTCATACCTCATGCTATACAAATGGTTGCAACATTTCTAATATAGAGAAATATTCTTGAACTGTAGAATTCATTCTTCTAGGAGACTGAAAATACCAGTATCAGCAGATTTTGATTTACGTAGCAATTTTGACACCTATATTTGTGAGTGATATCAATAAGAAAAAATTACGAATTGTGTATAATGGATCATTTCATAAAACTGGAAGTAAATGTTCACTTATTTGGTACAATGCAGATAAAAGATTTCCCTATTGTTATTTTGTTCATCACAAAAGTAAAGTATGTTCATTTTAAAACCATAATGAGAAAATATGGGCAATATTTTAACCACCCTTCATAATTCTATCTAGAGAAGTTATCTTTAAAATACTCTATTCATTTGTAAGTTGTTAATATTCCTGTATTGCTATTTTCTGACCTCTACTGGAGGAAATGAGAAGTGTCGGTATACTTTTGTCGGTATATTGTATACAAATGCATATGTGTATTTGTGTATGTTTAATATAACTAATTGATTTTCACTAATGAGACAACTGGAACACTAGCTAGTATATGGAAAAAGTTTTTTGCAATCTTGATAGGTATTAGTTTGACTAATGATTTTAACTAATTTGGTTGTGGTCATAGCAGGGGAAGAACCATATTATAACAAATAATGATGTTGACTTTATGAGCTAAAATGTTCTCAAAAGTAAAATCCTTGTTTTCTAAAATCGCTACCTCCAGGTCTCTTCTCAAGTCATTCTGTTTCTTTTTTGATGTGTAAAAAAATTCTTGAATGACTATGCATTTCTGGAATTGATCAGGAGATTGAAATTTCTCTTATATATGTCAGATAATATAATTTGAAAATTTATATCCTTTCTCACATTACACAGTACTAAAGCACTTTTTGAGTGGTTGGGTTGGGACCACACCCAATGATATTCAGAAGTAACTTCTGGTTTTGCACTCAGGAATTACTCCTCCTACTGGTGCTTTGGGGACCATATGGGATGCTGGGCATTGAACCTGGGTCAGTTATGTGCAAAGCAAATGCCCTACTTGCTGTACTATTATTCAGGCCAGTATTTTTGGCATTTTTCCCATTAACCTCTTATTACAATTTTTAGCAGCTACTCTTCCCAATTACAAAGTAATTTTGTGCAAATATATAATATTTGTCTTATTTGCTTCAAAGAAGCTGTGTTTCTGAAACCAAAGTCTGTATTTCTGAAACCGAAGTATCTGGTGTGACATTTACCTTATTGTCAGATCCTGCTATTTCAACCATCCTGCTGAAGTGATCTGCTTTTGAAGTTTCTAATGTTTTTTTGTTAATATTAAGGTAGGGAAATTGGACATGCTCATTGCTATCAAAACAAACTTCCAAAAGGAAAAACTTACTGATAGCCCACTCACGAGAAACCATGGCTCCCAGTGTCACCTAGTACTCAGAAGAAATGATATACTGGCCCTCCCGTTGATCGTCGATTTGCTCGAGCGGGCCCAGTAACGTCTCCATTGGAGACTTTGTTGTTACTGTGTTTGGCATATCGAATACTCTCGGTAGCTTGCCGGGCTCCCCGAGAGGGGCGGAGGAATCGAACTCGGGTCTGCCATGTTGGCCGCTTGTAAGGCGAACGCCCTACCCGCTGTGCTATTGCTCCAGCCCCTAGAAGAAATGATATACTGATAGATGGCATATGTTCATGCCAGTCTCATATCAAACATCTATAGACCCCTAGTGAATTTTGATATGCAGACCCCATTGTTGTTTGACTCCAATATGCCAGAGATGTTTATATTTACTGAGTGCCATTTATTTTTAGTGCTACTATTTATCTTATTTTGTTAAAATATTTTCCAAAGCCTTGTTTGTGAATAAAAGATGTGATACAAGCAATGTTGAGATTTAATTATCAGTTGTAAAACTGATCATTCAGCTCAACTCTTTATAATTTATAAACATCCTTCCTCACATCTAAAATCAGTGTTAGTGGTGATTCATTAAAAAAAAATTAAAAATAAATAAAAAAGTGACCTTACAGAAAAATTTAAAAAAAAAACCTATATACTGGGGCTAGGGTGGTAATACAGCCCGTAGGGCATTTGCCTTGAATGTAGCTGACCCGGGTTCAATCCCTGGCATCACATATGGTCTCCTGAACACAGCCAAGAGTAATTTCTGAGTGCAGAGTCAGTTGGGAGTAACCCCTGAACATCACTGGGTGTGACCCAGAAAACAAAAAATATATATATAATAAAAAATAAAATTAGTGTTAAGAATCTACTAAAATTTTATCTGTTTTTGCAAATAATTATGTTAACTTCTGCTACTGTGACTTAGAAGACATCTGATTAGATGCCTTGAAAGTGACTTGCCAAAATTGTTCCTTTTAAGGGACTTTATCATAATTAAATGAACGGCAAAAAATTAAAACCTATTAAGTAAACTTGCTTTCATTTTACTTATGCCTTGTCCCCTTTCATCTAATTATATTTTTATGCATGGTTGTATCTTGTGCATATATATTTGTCTGGTTTTTTTTTTGTGAATGGAGCCTGTTTGTTTTTATTTTATTTTGTTTAAGCAAATAAAAGGTGGAGAATTTTGGTATAGTTTCTCGACCTCAGATTTTTTTCTCAATCTGAAATTTGGAACTAAAGTTCACATGAAACTGCTTTAGACTTGAAGGCTAATTGTTAAGAGTTTGATAAATGTAAAGATACAGAATGAATTAAAATTAAGAGCATGATTTCATGTTATTGACAGTTTCCAAATGAGCTATCTGGAGAAATTGAGTGTGTGGGGGGGGCGGGGACAGATTTTCTGGTATTAGTCTGCATTCTAAGTGGGTAGAATCCAAGCTCATTAACTCACTGTCACAGTTCCATTTGCATAGCATGTAGATAGGGGCCAGCCTGTGTGCTTAAAAAGGAAAATGAATGAGGAGCCTTCTCTCAGATATATTGCTTAACTGTTGTTACAACTTCTATTGCTCAATCAACCTCATGAAGGATGCACTATTTGAGCACAGTGCCTCCCTTTGTTGAGAACCTTGCAATTCATGTGGAAATATGATATATACAGAACACATAAAGGAGAAATCAGAAACCATACATCTCCATAGGCTAAGTTCAATGCACTTTTCTGAAGAGGTTAAAAAAAAGACAGGTGATAAACTGTCTCTTTTTGTTTGTGAGTACAGGACTGTGTTCAGGGGTCTTGCTTGGGAGACCATGCATGTTGCCAGGATTTGAGCCAGTGTCATGGCTGCAGCCCTTAGCTAGGCAAACACTTTAAACTTTGTATCATCTTTCTGACCATAAACAGTCTCTTGAAACTGAGGACTAGCAACAGAATTGAAGTGAAAATATTGGGGGAAACCTTGAAATTATGACAGCTGGCAAATGGAAATCATCTTGTGCAGGAACTCAGCATTTTCCAGAAATCAGTAACCTGAAGGTGTTCCATTTTCTCCTGAATCACTATCCCTTTTTGCAGGTCCTTAACAGGGATCATGTTAATCCAGCAATGCCTGGGTCAAAGTCCAGGGTTTATTTGTTTCTCTTATGATGACAGAAATTTGTCCAACCTGTTATTTCCCAGAACAGTTGTCAATTTCACATGAGCTTCATATGTTCCAGCAGAGCTGGCTGACTCCATAAGTTTGCTCTAGCTGAGAATCAATTTTGCCTCCATCTGCCCTCCATTTAATTTCATACTTGTCGGAAATAATTATGTCTTATCATTATGGGTGGTTTTATTTTTTAAAAGGAAAAAATGAGAAGAACAGTAATTTCCTTTTCAAAAAGTGAGACCCATTTGTTCTGGTGATCTTTCTGATGCTTATGTAAGTTACTCTGGAAACAATAATGGTCATTTGTCTTCTTTAGTGAGTACCAGAAGATCTTCAGCATGTAATAATTTGCTGAAAATTATGTCTCTTTATGACTGGATTTGGAGCAATAATTGGGGATATGAGATTAATTTATTCCTGTCTTTAAATTTCCCATTTGAAACTTAAATAAGACAAAATTCATAAAAATATTCTCTCTGTATACACACACACAACACATAGCTGTAGTAAAAGTGGCACATATTGGTAGAATGAACAAGATGGCCTAAAGCACGTTAGTCTACTTTACTACTCCCTCTGTAGCAGCCTGCAGAAAGATTATGATATGGATTCTTAGTCTGTTACTCATAAAGCTTCTTTTAAAACCTTTTGCAAGCAGCAATTGATAACAATGGTAATTTTAATTTGGTATAGACATCTGAAAAATGTTAAGTAATTTAACACATAATAGAGGCACCTCTCAGGTTTGGTTTCAGAGCAATAAAGCAAGTCATCAATTTTATGCTTTCCAAAAATTTTATATCTGAAAATACAAAAGTTGCATATATACTCTACTTTTGTCTATAAAGTGTGCAGTGTAACTTACATTTCTTATGCCTAAAAATTCTGAATAAAAAACTGTGTAGCAAAAAATATATTCACTGTCATCTGA